AAAGAGAAAGAAGACAAGAAAAGAAAGGAAAACGCACATTCACGTATTCCTAAAATAAAAATTATAAGAGGGGAAAAAAAAGTTACTGGAAAACAATTTTTTTTCAAAAAAGGTAAAAATTAAAGATTAATAATAGTTTTAGAAAAGGAAAAAGAAATTTTATATGTATATGGTACCAAAAAAAAAAAAAGAAAAAAAGAAGAAGAAAAAAAGTCCTTTGATTTTTTTTGGGAGGGATGGGAAGAATCCTGTATCTCCCTTGTGTCTGTAACCAGCCTCTTGTTGAAGTCTCTGGTCAGCTTGAGGTCCTGTGGCTTGATTGGTTTCTTAAGTCAGTTTGTTCGAACAGGCAGAAAAATGCTCTGCTTTACCCAAGATTTTGAGATCCCCCTCCCAGGTTAGTTTACTGGGAGGGTGATCTGCTTTGAGAATCACAAAGGAGGGGGATGCAGTGATGAGGCTAGGTTCTGGGTAGAGTTGAGGCCTTTCAACAAACAGTAGCTTTTCCCTGGGGCTATTTTGTGAAAAACTCACAGAGCCCAGCCTGGAGTCATTCTCAGGGTTTCTGTTTTTCAATTGATTGTTGAGGCTGCTAGAGGGAGGGGCAGCCTCTGGCTCTGTTTACCCAGTGGGGAAAGCCACTCCTATGGCTGGCACCTGAGCTGGGTGACTTTTCCCTGGATGGAGCTGAGTCTGGCAGGTCACTTCGCTGTTAAGTTCTTGTGACCTGCTAAATGACTCGTTTTATTCCAAGGCCTGAGTTGGAGCTAGCAGCTCCTCCGAGCTTTGAAGGATCCAAGATGGAGATCTCCGGTACTGGAACTTTGAAGGAGAGAGGACGTCAGGCTTCTACTCCTGCTGAGTCTTGGTTCCTGGGTCGTCTCTGGTCTGCGAACTGCAGGATGAAGATGTCTGCTTCTTGTCGGTTCTTGCTGGTGTTGTGTCCCGACCCGCAGGACGTCAGCGAGGGCAGTGAACCTAAGTTAGAAGGAATGAAGGGACAAGAGACACGAAGAATGACAGCAAGACAAGGATTCTGATCAAGCTGCAAATTTTTATTTTTCACACAGGGGTATTTATATGCTTGGAATAAGGAAGCTTTTTCATTGGCCATTAAGGAAGCTTTTTCATTGGCCATAGCAGTGCAGGATATTTACTTAGGGCAGGAGGAAAGGGTGGTCATTAGCAGTTGTAGGATGTTTACTTAGGGCAGGATGAGGGTCGGATTTGGATTCTGTAAACTCAGCCTCAAGATGTTCCAGTGAGATAGTCAAGCCTATTATGTTGAGAGACTCAACTTTTGGCTCCCGACAGTGTTGAGTAGAATCCGCTTGCCCGCTGCGTCTGGCTCCTTCGTCCCGGACTCTCTGTGGCTCAGGTATGGCCGCGGCCGCCGCCGCCACAGCCACCGCTGCCGCCGCCATAGCAGCTGCTGGCAAGAGCTCAGATGTGTCTCATTGCCTTGGCTTCCCCTCTCTTGCCTAACTCTCTGTCCTGTGATGGCACACTTGGTGTGATTCTCTGGCTTAGGACTGTTCACTGGAACTCTAAAACTGCTTTCTATGTGAGAGCTTGTTCAGATTCCAGCTTCTCCTCCGCCATCTTCCCAGAACTCAAGATTATTTTTGTCCTATTAACCACCACCAGTAATTTTTTGTTTTCATGGTGGTAGTTATTCTGACAGAGATTAGATCAAATCTCAGTATATGTTACTTTTCTGTGTGTGTGTGTGTGTGTGTGTGTGTGTGTGTTTGCGCATGCACGCACCAGTCCTGAAGCTTGAACTCAGGACCTGGGTACTGTCCTGGAGCTAATTTGCTCAAGGTTAGTGCCCTACCAGTTGAGCAACAGCTCACTTTCAGCTTTCTGGCATTTGAGTAGAGATAAAAGCTTCACAGATTTTCTTGTCCAGGCTGGCTTTGAACTGCAATCCTCAGTTCTCAACCTCCTGAGTAGCTAGAATTACAGGCATGAGCTTCCAGCGCCCAGCTGGATATATCCTTCTAAATGTGTCATCCCACACAGAAAACAAAAGGACAAATGTACTAAGGTCCACTGAAATAGTCTCTGTTGAAGTTTTCTCCTGATAATGATTTCATGAGCCAGAATGCTTCATTAGTCAAGTTTGTTGTTGTGTTGTTGTTGTTTTTGTCAGTCATAGGGCTTGAACTCTGGGTCTGAGCACTGTCCCTAGCTCAAGGTTAGCACTCTACCACTTGAGCCATAGTGCCACTTCTGGCTTTTTCTGCTTATGTGGTGCTGAGGAATCAAACCTAGGGCCTCATGCTTGCAAGGCAAGCACTCTACCACTGAGACACATTCCCAGCCTCCATTATTCAAGTTTTAAACTGAAACTTTTTCTTTTTCTTTGTGTCTCCTTTCCTCACATAGGGGTGGGTTTCAAAACTAATATTCTTTTTAAAAAATCTATTGTAAAAGTGATGTACAGATGGGTTATAGTTACATAAGTAAGTTATTGAGTACCATTCTTGTCTAATTTGTTACCCCCTCCCTCATTTTTCTATTTCTTTCCCCCTCAAGCCCCATATGTTGTAATGATCATTTCCAACATATTGTCTTGAGAGTATCACTACTGCATAGGTTCCCCCTTTGTCCTTTGTCTCACCATTTTGTTATTCCCCTTCCCTTCCCTAATTCAGATAAATGTAAATACAATACCCATGGTACCAAAATCAAATACAGTGAGAACAGGGGTTAAACCATAGTGGGGAAAACACAAAAGAAAACAGAAATCACCTAGTATATTAAGAACAACAACAAAGAAGAACCCCTTGTGTCCATGTCATGGAATCATTTCATATATGGTCATATGTACATAGCTAGCAGACCTGAGAAACTACTCTTCTGCTGTCCTCATTTGCTTAGCAAATCAATAAGGCTTATTTACCTTTTCTTTAAAACTATGTTCTCATTACTTAGGAATGGGCCCTGACTTCAGGGATAGAAATTTCAGTAGCACAAAAAGATAGAAGATATTTGAATTCATTTTTAATAGAATTAATTCCATCTATCCAGATTAGGAATGATCAGAAGGAAGATGGGGCTACCAAGAAGAATTTAAGGAAAAACAAAACTAACAAAACAAAATCCATAAGTTTCTACTTACAAATTATACAATATTGAGGCATGGAATAGTAACCATCAAGGTGTGTGTTGGATGATAAGATAAACAACTCAATTTGTAGATATCATAATCTACTAACCCATATCCTAACATAACAAAGAAATGAATATTCCTTGTCAAATAGCCCCAGTTAAAAATAACATAAAGTGAGAAACCTATACTCCTCTCATGGCAGCTACTCTTACTTTGTATCATATTTATCTGATAGTGACAAAAACATACACTGGGTAGAGATCTCTCTTTCCTTGACCTTTCCAGCCCTCACCATAGCCATTACATGATATTGTCATTCCGATGGTGTAATCACCTCCTCCAAGGTCCTCCCCCTTAATATCTTTAAGTGACAATGAATATCAACATGAATACTAGAAGGGACAAATATTCAAACCAGATCAAATAAAGCATGCCAAAGATGATAACTATGATGACTATCCAATAAAAAAATGTGAAGCCATAATTTAAGAAACAATGGAGTGAGAATTTAGACATTAAGATGAAAAGTATGCTGTACTAAGTATATATTGAGAGGAAGATGAGTAAATGAACTACCCATTAGATAAGCATAATAGTGTCATTGAATGGAGCAGGAATTTTGAAAGAGTAAACTGGATAATATATGACACTGAAATATGTGAAATCTCATCTCATCTGCCACCCAGGTATATACCTTGAAGACAACAGAAGCAGAGGTGATTTGGGAACAATAGCAACATCTGGATCAGGTACTCTGTCTCTATGGTCTGGAAAAGTAAGGGAAGGGACACAGCGGGAGAAGTAAAACACCAAAGGTTTATTTAAAAAAAATGCAGAACTCTTGCCAAACAGGAGCAGTCTCAAGGGAGGGTACAGCCTGGAGTGAGTAATGTGGAAACTAATAAATTCTCTCTAGGAGAGAGCTACATGACTCTCAAGGTCACTGGACAGCTTCTGGAACATATTAATTCCTAGACCTATACAGAAACAGTGTGCACAAGCTCTCCATATATCCTTTAGCTTCTGTGACTGAATATCCATTTTGATATAAACGTCTAGGGACTAATAAGTCACAGTATATGTGAAAGTCTTCCAGGAATAATGGACTTCTTGAAGAGTAAAAAGTGCCGAGCATAAGCCTGAACAGAAGTATGTTTAAAATGACAAATGGACAGAAAAACAAAAAAAAAAAAGAGTTAAGATATAGCACAAAAATAAGTATGAAAGCATAAACTAATCTTCAATGTATAATGCCCTGGGTTCAATTCCTCAGTACCACATAAACAGAAAAAGGCAGAAGTGGTGCTGTGGCTCAAATGGTAGAGTGCTAAGCAAAAGCTCAGGGACAATGCCCAGGACTGAGAAAAGAAGGAGGGTGGAGAAAGGAGGGAGAAAGTGGGGAAGGAGGGAGGGAGAGAGGAAAAGGGAGAGAGAGGGAGAGGGAGAGGAGAAAGGGAGAAAGGGAGAAGGGGAGAAGAAAGGGAGAAAGAAAAGAACTATAAGTTTAACATAAGCTAATTAAGGAAAGACATAGAAATGACTTGTTTTTAAATACACACAAACTTGGAAGTGGTGCTGTGGCTCAAGGGGTAGAGTGCTTGCCTTGAGCTGAAGAGCTCAGGGATAACGCCCAAGCCAGAGTTCAAGCCCCACGACAGACAAAAATAAAATAAAATAAAAGATCCTAAATACACACAAACTTGTCAGGCATAAATATTTTAAAACTCTATCCCTAAGAGATTTTCCAAACTGTGGGGAAAATAAAACTAATTACAAATGCCAAAATCAAGTAATTATATTGCATCTGAAAATACCTACTTTAAAAATCAGTATTTTGAGAAGTAGGAGATGGGATCTAACCCACATGAAAATGTTTTGAATGAAAACAGAAAGTATGTTGAAGACATACTTAGTGGATACAATGAGGTCACAGAGACACCTATAAATTGCAAGTTCATATATTTGACTGTGTTCCAACACTATAAAAGGTCAGCACACAATGAGAATAACTGAGTGTCTGTTTTTCACACAGCCATGGACTCAGAAGAGTCCAACACAGACTCTCTGCTCAAAGGAAAAAGGAGGCAAGACCTCCAAGAGATGCTGACAGAAGTAGGACTGTCTGTTGAATATTGGTTGCCTAAGCTACAGCAACATCTCGGTGTGAGCTGTGCCCAAGCCTTACAATACTTAGAAGAAAAGGACCTTCAGAAACTGAAGTCCCAGGTACAGCATTCATGGGAGAAAAAGGCCCTGGAGAAGTTGATTGACTTGGCACAATCAAATAGTATGTCAGCCTTGGACAAGTCACCAGTGCAGATGATAAGGAAAAGGCAAAAGCAGGCAGAGCAGACACTGGAGGAGCTGAAGGATTTGCTGTTAGAAGGAAGGTGCAGACAAGAAGAGGCAGTGAGGAGAAAAGAATCAGAGCTGAGGGAAGTAATGGAGATCCCTGAACAATACTGGCCACTACCTGAACAGCCACTAAGCAAGGTTGTGGAAAGCATTCAGACACAACTCAGTCTCACTGTGCAGACACTGTCCCACAGACAAAACCTCCCAGATAGAGATGTGGTAAGAAGGGCATCTGGAGGACTGGCCCTGCAGGGAATATATAAAACCAGTCATCAAATGGATCTAATCCAGAAGAGAGAAGAACTACTCAGTGTCCCCAAGGAATTCTTGCTTCATGGCCCAGAGCAAGGCACACGGATGGAAACTAGAGAATTTACATCTTCTCATACAGAATCCATGTTTACCAGGATTATAGAGACCCTGGGTTTCCGTGTAGCTGCCTCAAGCAAAGGTGAAGGTTGGGGTTTTAATTTAGAAGCTGGTGTGGATGGAAGCACACATTCGGAATCCAAGGAGACTCAACAATCATCGTCTAAGAAAACTTACTTCTGCTCAAGCAAGTTCAGCTACATCCCCTTGGCCTCCTGCCACTTTCCCATGGATCAACTCCAGCTCTCCAAGGCTGCTTTCCAGGAACTGAAAACCATTGAAAAACTTCTGAGTGAGACTTCAGATTCAGACAAACTGCAATTACTGAGGCAGAGAACTGAAAACTTCTTCCTCAGATTTGGTTCCCATGCTAACCAAGGACCCCTGCACCTGGGAGGAATCTACTGGTGGAAGGCCACTGCAGAGGGTTTCCAGAGTCACCAGATGGCTGAGGTGAAGCACCA